ATCTGTTACACTCAAAATCTTGTTATGGACAAAAGAAGGCATATATGAAGCAGAGAAATTGTTGTTAGTCCAGTTAATGTTGTAACAGTCTAATAGACCTAATTATTAGTCCAGTGACCACAATATACATTCATAATCTAAATTAATACAGAAAACCCTCAATGAAACAGATAAAATTGTTATACAAAAGCTTCCTAGTATTTACCTGCTTTTTGTGCTGTCATGCTCATCCTTTCAATGTCCCCCCAGTTCCTAAGGCTAACATTTTAGCCTTCCTCAAGAGAGCAGGCAGGAAATGTTGTTGGCATCTCAACGTCTTTGCTGGGTGGATTGTTCATGTTGGCACCTTCTTCCTTCTTTTTGTGAGGAGGAGCATGATGTTGATACCTTCTTCCTCTTCAATCTGGGGGTCTGCTTCGAGTTATTTTTGTATGTTCCCTTATCCCAGCTTGCTACCCTAGGGGAGGCTGCCAGCTGCAGTGTGGCAACCACCCCCACCCCACGCACAAAGAGCTGTTTTTTGCCAGGCAGGGACTGCCAGGGATGTCAGCCCCTCCCCGGAGGGGCCTGGCCCAGAGCTGGAGCTGAGGCTGGAGCCTGGAGCTGGAGCTGGGGGCTGGAGCTGGGGCTGGGGGCTGGAGCTGGGGCTGGGGGCTGGAGCTGGGGCTGGGGGCTGGAGCTGGGGCTGGGGGCTGGAGCTGGGGCTGGGGGCTGGAGCTGGGGCTGGGGGCTGGAGCTGGGGCTGGGGGCTGGAGCTGGGGCTGGGGGCTGGAGCTGGGGCTGGGGGCTGGAGCTGGGGCTGGGGGCTGGAGCTGGTCTTTGTATCATTTCTGAGACAGACAGGAAAAGATATTTGAAGTTCAACTATTTCAGTGTTACATCAGCACAGTTTTAACAAAACTGTGTTGAAGCCCCCTTTCATAGACTAAGAGATGAAATGGTTACATATTTTAAACATCTTGGGTCATACAGAATCTTATAGAAATATTAAAGAGTTAAAAAGAAATGCAGTCAGATGCTATCTCCAAAACCCAGAGGACTGCACTCACAATTTATGAGATCTAAGAAGTATGCACGGTGCAATCCATATCTGCCTTATAGATATTATTGGTGCATGTATATGACATTAAAAAAAGAGGTAATAACATGGTAATCCTATTAAATTAACGGAAAAGACACCAAATTGTTGCAAGATCTGTGTAGTTCAGATTTTAGTGCATAAAAATGACTTATTTTTGTTGAAAAGTAGACTTCTCTATAAAGTGCAATTTTTAAGTAATTGCTGTTACTTATGTATTTATTTAAATATATTTTATTCTTCCTTTGCAGACTTTCCATATATGATGTTGTATACTAAAGTTGTTTGTAAACATGCAGTTAGAACCTGATGTAGATTATTATTATTACAAATTATGTTAATAAGCAATTTATTGACATAGATCCTGTCATCTGCATCTGGATTATAGGCAGCAAATGAATGATTCTTAGGTGTTTTAATCCCCAAATAAATCAAATCATAATTCACAGTAAGAAAATAGATTTATGTTAAGAGGACTAGAATAGTCCTGTTTGTATTCATGTATGTGAATAGCAAACACTAAGGTAACAGAAGCTGTTTCAGCATCATTAGTCTGTAGTTGTACACTGTAAATATTAACTACAGTAATAGGCATAAGTAGCTGCATGTGTCATCTGTGTTTCATGTCATGTGAAGATCCAGTTTTACTATTATTTTCTAATCTTGTTTTATACTGAGAAAAAATTAATGGCTACTGTGTATTTGAGAAGGTGTTCTATACTTAATAGCTAAACTAAGCAAGCTTTTCCAACTAAAGTGGCAAGGCTAAGCTTTATGATTTTGTTTTATTTTTTCTGAACAATAATGTAGAATGAAGAGTCTATCTAACCAAATGAGAGCCTGATGTATCTGCTTCTGTAGATGAACCATATTAAATTGAAAGGCATCCAGTTATTATAATTTCACTAGCAAAAACAAAGGACATTTCAGCTTCATGGGTTTATAAGCTTCTTCAAGCACTTAAGTTTTGAAAAATACGATACTACTAATGGCATTGCTAATAGTATGGAATCAGAAACATGAAATTGAATAGAAGGTTGTCCATTATGTCTACTTCTATATAGCTGTTATGTGGTCTCTGAAGATTAGCTAAACAGCTAATAATAAGCAAATGATGGGAAATTCCTTGTCTTCTCTGTTATGTTAAGGAGGACTATAAGTTAAATATTCAATATTAATTATAAGAGCCACATTTTCAAAGAGTGAGTGAATAGCTGTATCTCCGCAATACGTGCACAGATCGTTACAGATTTTTGTGCATGCCTAATCGTCAACCAGGGAAATAAAGGGGTTAACTGCGCCAGAAAAATTAGTATGAATAGGTGTTTGTATTTTCCATACTGAAGTTTTACTGTTAGTGGATTCAGAAACTATTTAGTTGGAGGTAACTAAAATAGCATTGTTGCAATGAGTAATGAGTATGAAATTTTGTACAAATTAACACTTACATTTAGTTGTAAAGCAGCTGTAATAGATGATTTGTATATTATGTTTCTTTAACATGTGAGAAACGGAATCAGCTGTTGACCTCAAGGTGAGAGGACCATTCCTCCTTTGCTAAGGAGTGGTTGAGGTTGAAGGAGAGCTAATTGTGCTACACCGACTTGAGTAGATACTACAGTGTACCAGGAATGGATCTGTAAAGCAAAAATGGTGGTGCTGAAGAGCTCATAACCCCACTACACAAGATTTGGCAGGCTTCTTTCAAGCACCCTCTAATTTGGTCCATGAACTGAATACTTATTAGCAGTCGGAGTGTATTAGATATACTCAAGGGAGCATATCTTTTGATATAGTTTCATCCGAAAGAAAACAAGTTTGCATGCTCTGAAATGGCTCTGCAATGTAATACAAAGTGCTGCAGTTAGGAACAGTTAGGAGATGAATCACAAAAGTTGTCTTGCTATCTAATCTAAAATGTTAGTATAGATGCATCTTGAAAGACTAATGAGCAGAGCGACAGGCCTCAGGTGTTAGTAAAAAAAATTCTCAGGGAACAGGAAGGTACAAAGTTGACTGAAAGTAGGCTTGGAAGCATGGACATGCCTGCAAAAAGCCGGTGGAAAGAAAAGGAGTTATTTGTTTGCATACCTACAAAAATAATAATTCTGATTTGATCACTTAGTGGTTTCTGTGTTTAAAGTTTTAACTTTTTATTTTATTTTCTAATAATACCTACATTTTTCACAGATTAAAAGCCTTTTAATCTTATTTGGGATCTCATTATGAGAAAATGTCTAGGAAACCGTTTCTAAACTCAGTCCACTGTAGCGTTCCACACAACAACCAACAGTATCTCCTTATAAATAAACTTCCGTTAGTGCAGGCTTCTCATAGTCATAACATGAAAAGGAAAAATCTCATTCTATGTATGTGCTCTGAAGCTACTCCAGATCGCTCAAAGGTGTGAGAATGTCCACAGATTACCCTAAGAGAAAAAAAGGGAATTTCATTGAATTGAACTCTTATTAATTTTATAAAAATCCTTTTTCCCTCTTCCTTTTTTCTCCAGAAATATTTCAATAGTATTGCGATAGACGGAATTCCCATGACATTCTGCCCGTGTCCATCTCTACTGTGTGCATAGACAAAATTCTTTTATCTTTCAAATTCTCTTTTGCCAAGAAAGGTTGCAGCTAAAATTATAGCCTAACTGAACAGGGAACAAAGTGTACCAGTGGTGGATATGGTTGTAACTTCCTTAATCCATAAGTTGTACTAAAAAAAGCTGTAGTGAAATGATTTTCAAAATATCTCACATCATGTCTATCTTTGATAGGATCCTTTCTGTATTCACAATCTTATATAGGCTCTTTTTCCTCCTGATTCATAATTACCCTGTTGGAAATTTGGTGAGGATATAAAAATATCTAAGTGGAAATTATTTCCAAGAGGCTGACATAAAATTGCAGGAGTAAGGACTAAAGCAAACAGCCACATGAACATTCACTTCTATTAAAAATACTGAAAAAATATCCTTTATGCCAGATGGACAAAATCAGTAGGGAAAATTGCTATAATCAAGGCTTCCGTAAAGTGTTAGTTCTTTACACTCTCTAGATAACATCTTTATCTATGGATCAAGGCTGTGTAAGATTATCACTTTTTTCTTTTGTTAAATCTTCCCTGTGCTAGGAGACTTCTGGACATGATAAGGAGAGGATCAAGCAAAGTGCAAGGGAATTTTGGAAGATTATGAGATGTTTATGGGCTATACGATGGTCTAGCTTTTTTTCACTTTCATAAATACTTCAATTTTAAAATGTTTAAAAAATAATTGAGGGAAGGGGAAGTGTGAATAAGTCTTCTTGGGTCTTAGACAATTTATTTACTGTCCTACATAGAAAAAATCTTCTGCACAATTTCTTTAAAATAGCAAAGACAGTTAATTTTTTCAGTTACAGACAGAAATTAGAGCCTATATTTCTAATGCTAAAGCATTACTCTACTGATTTTATGTCTTGAGTAAGCAGGATGTTTTAAATTGTATTTATTTATTTAAATTGAAATGAACTTAATGTGTCTCTATAATATTCTTTTTTTTTTTGTCAATGGTACTGTCAAACAGAAATTCTCACCTGAAGTATGACATTAGTATATCATAGGACATGCTAATTTTCTATTTGAATATTGTCATTGGAAGTTTGCTTTTAAAAGCTTTATCACTTGGCTAGTTTGTCCCATCTAAACAGCTATGATTTTGATTATTGTGCAGTTTCATTTAGTTATTGCAAGCAATCTGTATGAACCAAAGTTCTTTGGTGTCCAATTAAAAGGAAAGAAAAAACATTGAAAAAATTTCAATCCATTGTGACTAATTCAAAGTAAAAGTATTGCTGACACAATTAAACATTATTGACCTTGGTCATTGCTATGATATATATTGAAATTTGTTTTTTTAATTTGCTCTTCTCAACAACAGATGCCTATGTCCCCTTGGTTACACTGGCACATTTTGTGAACTTGCTATGGACAACTGCATTGGAAACAAGTGCTCTGAGTATGGCGTCTGCCAGGACCACTTGCATAATTACAGCTGTCACTGTATGCTTGGATATGAAGGACCCTTCTGTGAAGTCGAAATTAATGAATGCTCAAGTTTGCCATGCAAAAATGGAGCCACCTGTGTGAATTTAATTGGCAATTTCTCATGCCATTGTGCTGCAGGGTTCAAAGGTAAGCTTTAACTTTTGAAGTGTCTTGTAGTATGTATGTGATTGTCCAATTTTATCTCAGTAATGCTTATATGAACATTCATAATAATTATGTGTGTGTATATATATACGTGTGTGTGTGTATGTGTGTGTATAATATGTATATATTTGCATTTGTTTAAAACTTGCAAGAGGACTTTTAACTAAATTAGCATGGAAATTCTTAGATATGTCTTCTAATAGTTCCTCACCTGACCTTCTACTTACTCAACAATTCTGAGCAGATACTTTGATGTTCTTGATAATAAAAAATTGATTTAAAAAGAAGACCTGGACAGGCTGGAGAGTTGGGCGGAAAGGAACCTCCTCAAGTTCCACAAAGGCTAGTACAGGGTCCTGCACCAAGGGAGGAAGAACCCCAGGCACCAGGACAGGCTGGGGGTTGACCTGCTGGAAAGCAGCTCTGCAGAGAAGGACCTGGGAGTGCTGGTGGACAACAAGTTGAGCATGAGGCAGCAATGTGCCCTTGTGGCCAAGAAGGCCAATGGGATGCTGGGGTGCATTAGGCAGAGTGTTGCCAGCAGGTGGAGGGAGGTGATCCTTGCCCTCTCCTCAGCCCTGGGGAGGCCCCACGTGGAGTACTGTGTCCAATTGTGGGCTCCCCAGTACAAGAGAGACATGGAGCTCCTGAAGAGAGTCCAGTGGAGGGCTCCAAAGACGATGAGGGGCCTGGAGCATCTCTCCTCTGAAGAAAGGCTGAGAGAGCTGGGCCTGTTGAGCCTGGAGAAGAGAAGGCTGAGAGGCGATCTCATCAGCGTGTACAAGTATCTGAAGGGAGGGTGTCAAGAGGATGAGGCCAGACCCTTCTCCGTGGGGGCCCGCAAAAGGACACATATGCTCTAGAGGACCCTGCTGGAGCAGGGAGGTTGGACTAGATGATCTCCAGAGGTCCCTTCCAACCTCAACCATTCTGTGATTCTGTGGTTCTGTGATCAAGGCCCAAACACAGCAGAAGTATTTTAATTTCATTGTTATGTAGTACTAGGTGTCATGGACTTAGCTTTACATAGAAATTCAAAATCTGCTGATAGGAATGAAGGTTTTGGTACAGAGCAGGAAAATCTGAACATGAAAAGGAATAAAGGAATGAGGATCAGCAGTGCGATCCCTCTGCGTGTGCAGAATGTAAGCTTTTACATATGAATTAGTTTTTCGAACTCACCTTTTAGTCAGTGGAGATGAGCAAGTACTTTTAGAACATAATGCCTCCTACCTATTTTAGACATCTGTTCTAGGATGAGTTTGCCCGTAGATTTCTACACTGGGTTAGATGAATCCCACACAATCTCATTTTGTGTTTCCTTTTTGTCCCAATTCTCTGTTTTGTGTGAACAGCCTGGTACTCAGGCTTTGTGTGGAAGGGAAATCATCTTGATTTCACATTTCTTAGTGGTACTAAACTGTTGCATTCTGAGCCTCTAGCCTATATTATCGAGCACAAGTCATAATGCTTTGAATGCTTCTTAATCTTTATTGGTAGTCAGTGTGTCATGCTGCCATTAACAAACAATGATAAAAATAAACAGTATAGTATTCACATTATCATCTGTATAACTGCTAGTTAAAGTTTCTGATTATTAATTTACATCTTACTCTTTCAAGTTTCTGAGGACTCTTGCTCCAATTCACAGAGACATTTACAGCATGTGTCGTACTACATTTGTAAGTCCCAGTTAAACCATTTGGATAACACATATATTTGGGACTTTCTGGGACTTCAGTGCCAAAGTGCTGAGCCATTAAATAATTACAAATTCAGAGGTAATTTTTCATATTTGCTGATTTGGAATCATTAGAAAACACCATAAATTCTGAATAACTATGCTTACTTTTAACATTTTAGCACTAACAATTATGCTAAATGATGTATTTTATGTATTAAATATGGTATGTGATATACATAACACAATTGTATATTGTACGTTTCTATTCATTTATATACAGATATACATGCACATTTATGTATATGATATACATTTACAGATGTGTTATCCTCAGTTTGAGTTGAGTATGCAATTTCTTATTCATTTGAATACACATTTATCAAAAAATGATACTTCTTCTCCATGTGCATTCATTAATAAACGTATAGTTTAGGATCTCCATGAGAGCCGCTGAGTACAATTACAGCAGCAAGGCATGGAAAAGGAAGTGATCTATTAGGAAATAAAATCTGAAACCATTTAGAGATGGAAAGACTATTTCCATTGAAATGAATGATAAAGTTATAGAATGTCAGAAAGTAACAGGATTGAAATAAAACATGAAAAACAACCTCTACTAAAAGCCAGCTCTTAAAAAAGCAGTATGAAATGCATATAAAATATGTGAAACATTGTAGAGATACATTGCATGGAAATACTTTTATAGTTTCGCATTTCTGGATGGCACAGTTAAAAGCAAATTTGATGGTAGATGTTGGATATTCTTAATTCTGTTTATCATTAGAATAGTTAGAAATAATTATATACCTCTTTTAGAAGCTTCCCATGTTCCTTTTGTTAGTAGTATTAATTTTTACACTCAGAGTTCATCATTTGCTCCCTTTCATCAATCCATTGCTTTGTAGTTGAAAACAGCTTTCAGTGATGAGCTACCTACATCGATTATAATACACTGTGGTTGTGCTTTTTTATTATTATTACTGTAGATAATATGGTACATTTATCAGTAAGAGCAAGCTTGAACTAGAGCCTAATTGGAACTAAAGTATCCACATATTCCTCTGAAGTGAGCCTCAAAAATTATATCAAACTTTATAACTGGCAAAACACAGGATTGTCCTTGAGGTAACCTAAATGCCATGAGGACAGAGCAATTATGTGTCTGATCACGAGCAAAGAGAAAGAATACTTAGCTCAAGTGTTCAGAATTCAAGTTAATATATTTTCATTACAGTGCTGAAACTTTAACACTTGCTGCAACATGAGGACTTGCTTAGATAAATGATGTAACACTGGAGAGTAGTTTTTATTTTATCGCCCAGTTGAGGTATCATATTATAGCAATCCCATGAAACAATCAAAATGAAAAGTAATTTTGCAATATTATTCATATTGTTATATTATTATAACTCTTTATCAGATGTGCCAAATGTACTTAATTCTGTATTTTCAGAGAGTAAAAAACAATTAATAAAAGACTATTGGGACTTACCAAAAAGTTACCACTACCCTAGCAACTCCATTTTGGTGTGGTGCCTAGTGGTGTATGATTCTGGGATATTTTCCAGTGGAGAACAGGTTTGAAGTTCAGTTATAATCACATGATGAATCAATGAAGAGTAACTCAGTCTAATTTTAGAAAGGCACACTTCATTTTATTATCTAACTTATTTCAACCCTTTTGCATAGCCACATGCACTTCATTTTTCTTCATGAGTACTAAATTCACTTAAGATGAAATATCAAAGGTGATAGTAAAAAAACCTGAAGAGTAAAACCAAAATTGTCATTTTTCAGGAATCTGTAAGTCTTTGGGGAACCATCATACTATGTGTGTTAGGATTCCTAGATTTGCAAATAAGCCATGAATTCCCAGCCACCAACTTGTTTTCTCTCCTGCTAATAAATGAATCCCTGGGTACTCTTTGATATTGCATTACCGTTAGTTTTTATTTCAGGAGCAAATTTATACATAGACAGCTTAAAGCTGTCTCCCCTGTCTGGATGATTGATTTGATCTGATGTCTATCAGCATTTCTCAAATGCTTTACATTCTGTTAGCTAGGGAACCCTTAGGCACTGTAAAAGGATTTGTCAACATGAATAGTGCAATCTTTGGAAAAAAACGAGTTCATAAAATACCAAGGCTTGAACGTCTTCATGTTAGAAGTAAATATTTTGTAGCTTTGTATGCAACAGTCTTTCAAAATCTTTTGTCTGAAAAAGATTGAAATTGTAAACTATAGTTGTGATGGAGACTTATATTTGGGGACATTTTGTAACGTCAAGAGTACTTTCCATTGCCTATAATAGAATTTGAGCTATGCCGAGCTTGCAAGTTTGCAGTAAAATCAGGAAAGACTGAGAAATTTTGTTAAAAAAAGGTCTTAATCTATTCCATCATTTTTATCTGTAATACTTCTCTATAATGCCTTCTCCTGGTCCAGCTCTTAAAGCATAATTCTGCTCGCTTTCAAACTCATTCACAGTCTATCCGTCTTACATATCTTTGTTTTACTCCATCTCAGAAAAAAAACAGTGTTTAGCATCAAACGAGTCCAGCTTTTATATTTCCAGCAATTGCATTTCTAAACAGATACTTCTGTGCTTCCTTTCATGGTTGATAAGTTCTTCTTGGAAGTATTTGAAAAAAGGTTGTCTTTATCCAAACACATCCTTCATTCAAACTCTCATTTATTTAGGTGCCTACCAAAATGTGAAGGCAGCTGCTGAGCACTCTCGGTAGATAAGTAGTATTGCCTCATTGTTCTCTCTTGAGGGTTTGTATGCATACGATATGAATTGTCTATATAATTAAACCCTGGCGAATCTTTTCCTTCTGAATTTGTGCCATATCTCACATAGCAGGATACTGATCCATCATGGCTTTACACGTGTAAGCAGTGAATAAGATATTAGGACTCATTACCAATGTATGAGTGCCTTCCAGTAGCTTTTTATGTTACATAATTAATATATTTTATAAACACTACTCTTCTCTCTTTTTCTCCAAAGGGGGAAAATAGTGTATGGGCATTTTTAATATCACTGTATTACTTTAAATTTTTGTGCTTCATTTTTTCTTTTTTATTCCACAAACACATATGAAGAGTCCACCTACCATTTGGAATATATCTGATGAAGCAATTAAGTGTCTGTACTTTCAATAAGTAATTAATTCTGTTTAAATTGTTTGAATATTATTTAGTTTCACACTGCTGTGATGGAAGGAACAGTATATCCTTGTACCAGCTCTGTAATAACAATGCCCGCATTGTTTCTCACAAGTGTTTCACAC